TGTTTTTAAAGGTAATAATGTTTAATAAAAACTATATTTTTTTTTTAAAAAAAGAATGATTGCTATTAAGTCACTATAAACTACAAATAGGGAAATAGTCTAAAAGAGAACAGTAGCTCACATAACATCATATAACATAATATGGAACATCAGGAGAGCTATGCTATTAGACTATACAGTATACTCATTTATGATTCATGGCCATGTTCTCCCCCCACCCCCTGTCACAGTTAAGCAAACCCTACTGTCATTAAGCATGTCATGTGACATTTGCAATCTCCTGCCAGTTTCCACATTGACTTTGCCTGTCAAAAGCCAGCCACCAGTGAAAGTCACAATGGCCAATATAGGATGCTGCTAACTCCAATCTGGTTGCCAAATTCCCAGATTGCGACCATATGAGCACGGATCTGCCGCGACTCTCCTAAGTATGAGAATTGATCATAAATAGCACTCATTCAGCCCTATTCTTCTGGGTGCTGAATGAGTGGTTGTTATACCTGTATTACCTGTAGTGTAATCTCCCGGGATGTTGTACAATAAAGGGCCACTAAAACAGATAGAGTTTAGGCCCTCCAGAAACTGATTACCTAAAACCTCCATTATCCTACTATTCTGGTTAAGGTTCAGGAGAGTTGCAACCCAACCAGGGCTTGAAAGCTACACATTCCTAGTTCCTTTTGTAGGCATTAAATACTGTAAATGCTTAAGCAGAATGAGGGTGTTATATGCAGCTTCCTTCTCTGCAATCTAAAGACGCCTGCAATACTAAAATAACTCCATTTTTTTTTGCTCCAAAACCGAAGTTCTCTTCAAAGCTGCGTTTCCACGATCGTTGAGGCTTCCTCTCACCAGAACTGTACAGAACAAGCCCGAACCCCAATCTGCGTTTGCATTCGGTTCTCGTCGCAAGAAAATCCACCAATGTCTCGAGTTCTCTTATCGATTTCGTGCGGCGCGGCGGGCGCATGCATTGCACGAAAAAGAGCCGCAAGGGCGAAGCTTCGCCTTTGTTTCCCTACACCGAACGCAGCAACCCTTATACTGCACACAGCTACCGATCTCCTTTACCGCTAAGCGTAGAGAGGCCCTAGACACGCTCCTCGGCTCAGCCCAAGCGGCCCTTCTCCTATGCAGGCCCTCTTCGCTCAGCTGAGACGGGAGCGGAACGGAAGGAGGCGCTCTGACAACAATGTCAAATACGAGGCGCCGGTTACGTGCCCAATGACGCTACTCGCCTGCCACGACTCGTTCTGAAGGCCGAGAGGAGAAGCGAGCCCAGCGGGCTGGAAAACCAGGGCTACCGAGGCCTGCTCTCCTCCGGCTCCTCCTACAGTCGCCACCACAGCAGGGCAGGTGGTAAGCGCTGCACGACTCCCTCGGAGAGCTGACAAGCGGACCTAGAGCGGGAGGGGCCGGGATCTGCGGAGGAGCCTCCCTTCCCCCTCCTCTCCTTCGGAAGGATCGCGTCCGCTGCTGCTGCTTCAGCTTGACGTTTTCCGCGCGGCATTAGCCGGGCTTGGCTTGGGGCGGATGGATCGCTGTCTCGCATTCTAAAAGGAAAACTTCAATCCGGAATTAATTTTCCTGATATTATATGCGACTGGCATATTCAACGCCTGCCTTAAATGTAGTAATTAAATACGTTACAAAACTGATCTGTAGTTTTAACATTTTGTACAGTTTTTCTAGGACTAAACCTATAGCATGTCAAGCAATTTACTTCCGAGTAAATATGTAGCGGAGCGGTCTGAAAGCTGACAGGTAGAGTCATCTTCTTGGCAAGATCGAATATTATTGGTGAAATCCACTGATAATTCATAAGGCGTTAATAACTACCACACAAGCAGAAATAATTGCAAAAATTTAGCACCCATCCCAATTTTCACATATTAATATGAAGTTGATTGGATCTGGACAAGTGTGTATTGTATGTGTCTGTGCCCTCTTCATTTAACAAGTCAGATGATATGGCTGGAAAGTATATTTTCAGGGTGATCTTTTAGATATATGTTTAGAAATGAGACACAATGTGTCAACAAGATTTAGCTCAAGGACTTTATCTTAAACGATTGAAAGGAAGACATGTACAGATTTTTTTTAAAGTCAAGAGAGTATTGAGAAGCAAATTTCAATTATTTTAATATATCTCTTTCTAGAGGTGCATAGTATAAATAAAATATAAGTTTTAGATCTTGTGTACATATTTTATCACTTTGGAAACAGGTCTTTAGCAGCTTTCTGAATGAACCATTTAAAATAAACATTGGAGACATGCAAAATATGCATATGCAAAATATCACTTAGCAGGGGCAAAATTAATATTTTTCCAATTATTGAAGTATTTTTTCTAAGTGATAATATGATTGGGTTATTTTCTCTATAATTAAATTTTACTTGTGATAAATGGTGCCAGCTAAATGAATTAAAAATTTCAAATTACTGGCATTTTAAAGGTTAGGGAAATGCATTCTTGCCAATTTGTGATATTTTGGGGTAGCTTCTATTCATATATAAAATAATACAATCATATCTCTAAAATACTATTTTATAAGTAATTAAACTTTTTCAGAAGCAGCATGATAAAAAGGGAAATCACCAGGGGTAAAAATACCATTTCATAAATGGCATATCCCAAACTTGATTATTGGTTTCTGCCCATTAAGTGCAGGAAAACCTCTTGCTTTTTCTAAACTTGTTCTGAATATTATATGTTCCTATTAAAAATATAGGTGCAAAGGAGAGGGGTTTTTTAATTTTCATTTCACTATAAATATGCTTCTCTTTGTTGCAAATATTTTAGTCAATAATAAATGAGCAATATGATCAGATGTATTACCTCCATTAATAACTATATCAAAAGATTAATAGAAATGTTAATAGCCAACAAGAAACATATTGAGGGTTTGACAAAAATACACCTTTAAAATTGTTTTTACAAAGAAATTAAAAAAGAGTTTAATTTGAAAAAAATAAAATGCTTTATATTATAATACTTCAGAAATTTTAATCCTCTCCAATGGCTTCAAATTTCTATTTTTATTAACTCTTTTAACTTATGGGGTCAGAAATATCCATTTAAAAATCTTTAGAATCTAACTACATTGGAAATAATTATACACTTCATATTTTTACAATATATGGTATTAATTCCAGGGCTTTCTAAAATTTTAAAAGCCATGCATATTACATACATACATTTTAAGGCTTTAGCAATTTAATGTGCAACTTTCTACAGCATTTTAGGAAAGGTTAAATATAGTCTTCCTGTTTTTAAAACAACACTTTGATTGTTAGTTTATTAGTGGTAAAAGTTATCTATAGAACTAACTTATAATTATATATTAAAGTTGATTTTCATTTTCACTTTGGGTATGGGTTTTTTATGAATGCTTTATTTAGATTTTTGCAGAGCCACATGACTTAGAGCAAACTTCCTTTAAGAAATTTCAATTTTATTGAAGCTTCAAAAATGTCTGTAAAATCATGTTCTAAGATAGTAAGCAATCTCCAAATAATTGAGTTAGGTTATTATAAACTTATGCCTTTATAGTAATGCTTTGTTTATATTAATTTAAAAATGGTCTTGTAATTAAAGCCTTACTTAGATACCAATGGTGACAAAATATTGTGATTAAGATTATAATGAAGTTATATTCCCCTACATTTTGTTTTATTTGTTAAATATATCACATCCCTTGTATATATGTGACTTATTATTTACATTCTCTTTTTAAAGAATAAAGCTAGAACTTTTGCAATTAAATTAATAATTATTTTTAATGCTTATTTAACAAACAAAAAAAAAGAAACTTCCTGTGGTTGAAATGTTTTTCATTAATTTTCACAGAAGAGATAGGAGTTAGGAAATGTATATCAGAATAAATAGTTGTTTCTGGTCATATTAAATTCTTATTGGTTTTTTAAAATAAATCATTATAGTAAATTATAGGATAATAACTGTCAGTTTTGTTCTCAAATACAGAGGTTAGGATTAGACAAGATTGAACATCATAATAAAACAGTAATTTTGGCATTTTGTTGAACAAATTGAAGAAGCTAAACAATATATACAATCAAATACTTTTTAAACAAATATGTTTGTATTGTATTTTAAAAGTATTTGAAGTAACTTTAACTATTTTATTTTATGAAGCACATACAGATCTTAAATCTGAAAAGTCTTTATGCTTTTAGTAATGGAAATAATTGAAGTAGTTCTGTGTTCAGTTTATTTATAAAAGTATCGGTTCTCATGTTCATAATCTGGGATTCAATCTCTTATGAAAAATAAACTTTTTTAGCAAGGCTGTTAAAATGGAATTCCATTTCTGGAAAAAAATAAAACTTAATCTAAGCTGGTATTTATTAGAATCAAAATACCTATCAAAGTGCCATTATATATATTGGGTATCCATTGAAATATATTTTTAGAAGAGGTGTAATATGAAGCATAAAAAAACTAAATTTCATCCATCCTAGATGGTTAGTTATATTTGCCAAATTGGCAGAATCTTTCTTAATTTTTTATTGTATAATTATTGGGAACTTTAATACTGTAGATTTTAAAAATGAGCTGCATGTCTGTCTTCTTAGTTCAGCAATGATTCTCTCCCAGCCCACTGGGATTTTATAGTATGTTGACTCCTTGGTTATCAAAGGGGAGAAATTATACAGTGCTTATACAGGAAATCTGAGTGGTTACAATCTAGTATCCTAATATATCTAATCTTAACCGGACCTGTTTTTAAATGCCTTTCCACATTGCCTTACAGAAAATGGCAGTGCAACTTGGTTCGCTAGTTAACCGATTATTATAATTGGAGAATATATCCTGATATCTAAAAAATAAAAGAAGCGCTAGGTATCCAGCATATTTTAGCAGAAAAAGTTTCGGTGATAAAGAGAGCCAGTCAAACCTTCCCAACTCTTAGCTGACGTGGCTGGAGGTACTAAGATGACGTTCCGGGTTTTTTCCGGGGAATGTGTAGCAATATAGGAGGAAGCGGTGGCCAATCTTAAAGTTCTAAGCCGACTCCGGGGTGGATCTCAACTTCTCCCCGGCTTGCTGGTAAGACAGGTCTCCACCCTCAGCATAATTCTCTCGGATAAGGACAAAAGCCCTTCCGCTCAGGCGGGGTCCCGGTTACGCCGCCCAGCGCCAAGAGGGAACGGGCGAATAGACCGCTGCCCGCGACTTTCACTGGGTTCCTGGATGTCAGTTTGTAGCGAAAGCTCCAGAAATCATTCTGAACTCGGGAGCGAACGGCAGGGAGGGAAAACATTGTGCATCGTCGGAGCTCCAAGGACAGCCTGAGTCCGAACTATTGAGGCACTAAAGAGTTAGCGCTTGCCTCTAGCTTTGGACCTAGCAGATGCGGCCTTCCAACCGCCGAATGCCCTAAGAAGTAGCCCGTTGGTTACTGTTACTTAAAACCCTCGGCCATTCGTTTGCTTTGTTTTCAAGTAGTGCAGGTTCCAAATATTTAAGAGTTGTCCTTGATGGAAATGAGTGCTCTCCAGCATGGACGGTTTAGAACATGCAGTTTGTAGATACTAAACCAAAGATTGACTTGGCTGAGGTTGCCTCTCAAATTTTCTCATAGCAGAGAAAGAACCTGGAAGAAGGAAAGCAAGGCCTGGAAAGCTGCCGTGTGGTTCCAATGACACTGCTTTTGTTTCAATGAATTGGTCAGGTGTCTAGTCAGAGGAAAAGGAACTTGTCTTTTGAAATGCATTCAGAACTGTGGATATGAGCACAGAACTATTATGCGGCATACATTCTCAATATATTCTATTGTAAAATGCAAAGTAGCAGAGATTGTGGCATCTTTCTGCCTCAAGTTAATAGGAATTGCAATTTCCCCTGATAAAGATGCTTTGATGCATATAATACATTCCATTTTTAGGGCAGACATTCTGGTTTCAGGTCTTTAATGTTTCTTTATTCCTTCACCTTGTTTTATAAAGAGGCTGTGTTTACTTTAGCCCTGAACTTGGGTAAAATTCCCTATTTAAAAAAAGCTAAATAAGTTTCAGGATTTAGCTTGAAGAGAAGAAAATTTAATTTAGAAATTGTAACATTATGAGCAGCAAGACTTAAGATTGGTTGTTTCCACCGCAGTAAACATCTTAAGAAAAAATTAGGCTGGACTCAACTGTCATCTAATTCTACGCCCTTTACTGTTCGAATTTGACAAGGAGAGCACTGCAGACCACTTTGGGAAACAGTAGCAGGAGAGAATGGATCTTTGATTTAATCCGGAAAAGCTATTCTGTTTTGGACCCTCTGCTGGGAGGATAGCTTGATTTGCACACAAAATGACCTTCCTCATAAAGAGGAATGGGCATAGTTTGGCAGAAACATTGTATAAATCTCAAGGTAAGTACAGCCTCTTTCCGCATTTTGCAAAATAAGGTACCTGGGAAGGTTTTTAGAATTTGACGGGTCTATCAAAACACTTAGGAGGGGGATGTTTTCTAAATTCTTTGTATAACAATGTAATCCTGAAAGTAAATGTTGCTCTGTTATGAAGCCCTGGAAAGCATCTTAGGAGCGGGCAAGTAAAAGCCCTTGAAGTCATGCAGAGTTTTCAATTAGGGAGCTTTAGACAGGCGGGAAATGGTGCGAATTTCAAAACGAACGTGCTATCATATCCTAGGAATGACCCCGACAGGTCGGAGGAGGGTGGCATTGATTTATGCTTTCAAAGGATTAAGTTGGCGTCGAGGAAGCGGTAGTGGTATCGCAGGTTGCCTCTTGAGGGGTGCGGACTCCTGCCGGCTCTCTCTTCGCTCGAACACTTCGTCTCCCGCAGACGGACGGCAATTCCTCTTTGGGGACGGCGGGCGACGGAAGGGTCTGCTTAATGGGCCAAGAAACGGGATGAGGAGGGCGCAGTGGGAGCTTCCTTCTCCGTCCGGTTTATGTCCGCAGACAGACCTGAGACATACGGCGGCTTCTGAAAGAGGGGAGAGGAAAGAGAGTTACTCTGACGATGCGGCCGCGTATTCACGTTTGATCGCCCCCATCGGATCCATCTCCCCCGAGGGAGAGGCGGCGGCGGCGGCGGCGGCGGCCTCAGTCCGGGGTGCGCGTGAGGAGGGAGGGGGGAATGGAAGCACGCGCGAGCTGGGGCCGGGCGGAGTCTGTGTCCCTGGCGAGGCTGGCCTGGCGCAGCGCGAAGGCGGGTGCGGGGCCTGGCCGACTGCTAACGGGCGGCGGCGGCGGCGGTGGCAGCGGCAGCGGAGCCCGAAGAGAAGAAGGCGCGATAGCCGGGCGGAGGACGGGTGGGTGGGGCCTGAGTGCCAAGAAGCGAGCGCCTCCCTGCCCTCGCCCAGTCTAACCCGGCGAGGCGCTGCCGTTCCCGATCCCCGGGCACCTCTCCTGGTCCTCGCGCTCTCGCGCTCTCCTCCTCTCCCCGTTCCTCTGCCCAGTCGCGCGCTTCCCCCTCTGCCATGTTAGCCGCTCTCTCTCTTTCT